CCCACCCACCCAGCCAGCCACCCCCTTGCGTCTGCTCCTGCCCACCTGCCCTCGTACTTCGAGCCCGTGTCCGGCAGCAGGCCGCGCGACCGCTGGCACAGGAACGCCCGCAGAAACAGGCCGCGCGTGGGGTGCTGCACGCCCTTAGTCATCTGGCAGTGTGGTAGGTGTTTCAGCGGTGCGTCGTCGAGCAAGGGGGTGGTGAAGGCCTAGCGATGCACATAGATTTCTTGTGCAGAGAACGGCTAGAGTTGTTCGCAACAACAGGTTTTCCTCATTCAGGAGGAGGCAAATTGTTGAGTTGGACTTTCAGACAGGTCAGATCAGGACTCAAGCTCATGTAATCCAGATCAGCTCACCTCCACGAGATCCTTCAGCAGCTCCTTAGACGACCCCTCCCCAGAGCGGATGAACAGGCAGCCCACCGCCACCATCAAGTACCTGAGAAACGAGCCACGGAGCGCGATTGCAGTGAAAGACGAGGATTTAGATGACAAAGCTGCACCATCATTGACCGCCAGCTGGTGCCAACTGTATGTGCGCGTGGCGGCGCGCTGTGTGCGCTGCGAGCGATTCTGGCAGCGGCGTTGACAACGCGCTCTCAGCACGGGCGTCCCTGTGCAGGCGCCTTGGTGCAACTGCCTGTGGCCTTGGCAGCTGCACCAGGCACGCCCAGCGCAGCGCCTTTGCGCCCCAGCGCCGGGCAGCATCTACTGCTCCGCTGGCTGCTCGAGCAAGCGGCCAAAGCAGGGGAAGCCAGCACCGCGGCCGGCGACTCACAGGCGCGGCAGCACGTTGCCTGCATGCTGCACCAGCTCGTATAGCTCCGAGTAGGTGCGCCCCTTGGCGTGCTCATCCGCGAAAAACGACTGCGGCCGCGGGGTAAGGGCTCTCGTCACTCGGGATGGGGTTGAGAGCGTTTGGGGGTTGTGAGCGGCCGCATTCTTGGGGTTTTGGTAAGAGCAACTCCTCCCTCCTGGCAATTATGAGATCAACGCTTGATAACAGTCCTTCCCACCGCCTCAGTGGTGATACTGGGATACCAGGCTGCGATTGAGCGATCAAGCGCACGCTCGCCGCGCCCGCACCTCCAGGTGCGCAAGCTGGTCGAAGACCTGCATGTACAGCTCGTAGTACTTCTGCGGAGAGAGATAGGATGTCCGCAGCTCCCCCAACATTGCTGCAGAGTACCGCAGGGCCTCCCGCAGGTTGTCTTCGTCCTGTGAGCAATGCATGATCTGAGCTCACGGGATCGCCTCAAGCGGGCAAGCAGCTGCATATCCACGCACCATGGCCTTCGACATGAAGTATGCATTTTTCTTGACGGAGGTGGAGGCCTCCTTCAGAAATTTGTCCTGTTCCTCCATCATGAGGCCTCAATGCCGCCTTAGTATGCTGAAAACGATACAAACAAGGCTGCTGGGCCCGCTGCAACGGACTATAGGCCCCTAGAGCGACCTGCAGATCGATTATGCCTTTACTGTGATACCCATGAGGCTTGTACGGAAAGAAACGCAGCACTCACGATCCTGCTAATGTGCATCAAGTCGTATGAGACGCTCACAGAGGTCGCAGTGCTGGTTGGCCGCGAAGCTGCCTGGATTCGACAAACCCCCAGGTGACTCGGTGACACCACGTCACCTTGCGGCGCACGGTGACAGTTCACGCGACCGGCGGCGGCGACATTTCGCTTGGTTTGGGCAGGGCGGGCGGGGGGGCCGGCGGAGCACCGGGACAGTGGTGGCATGGCTCTGTCTGCGGAATCGTGCATTGTTGAGGGTGATTGCGTGCTGCCAAGCGCGGTGGTGATGGCGGTTCAGGTGGTGGCAGCTGTCCAAGGCAGTATGCGCCAAGGTCCTGCTGCCACTACTGACGCCACATGGCTTTGCGTTTCCGAGGCAATTGAAAGGCCGTGTGTTACTGAGGAGCTGCTCATTGCTGTGACCAGTGGCTGTACCGACCCTCGGCGCCTTCCCGTTGCGCACACTGCGGTCGTGCTGGTGGTTGGGGTGGTGGCAGCTGACCACGGCAATTCACGTCAAGGTGCTGCCGCCACTACTGTGGGCAGTTTGCTGCGCGTCTACAAGGCACTGTTGGCGAGGTGGTCCTCGTCGCTGTGACCTGTGGCTGTGTTGACGATCATGTCCTTCCTGTTGCGCACATCTCCATGAAAATTGTCTGACCGCTGTGGCGTGTTGGGCCACGACCGCACACATCGCGTATTTATTTGTGGGTCGGCGCCTCGGCTGGCAGGCGCCATCGCCTGGTGCATGCTGGGCACTGCGTTCCTGGCACCAGCGGGATTTACAGTGACAGCAGGGCGTATCAGCAGGCTCCACCAGCGCCCCACGAGGGTGGGTACCCCCAGCACTTCAAGGCAGGGGTATTCTCACCCAGCAGGCCGTCCAAGCTGATGTCGTGGAGCATCTCCAGCAGCTGTCGCTCCACCATTTCAAACTCGCTGCCCTGGACAGGCTCCATGCCTGCTGGAGATACAGGCAGAGGGCAAGGAGCGAGCCTTGAGCGCACATGTGGCCAACTGGCAGGCTGGTTGGCGCATACCCGCCGCCGGCCCGCCACAGAGATGGCGCGCTGCAGAGCGGCTGCAGCTGGCGGCGCGCAGCAGGACATGGGAACCCAAAGTTTTCATGACATACCGTGAATCCGTTCAGTCTACTCTCCGGCCGCGCGTCCCTGCCGCCCCCAGAGGAGATGTCGGCCTGGGTGAAGCGTGACGCCTGGGTGAACGTGGTGGCTGGCCAAGAGCTGCGACCCAGACGTGCAATGCGTGCCTGACTGGAGGGCCGCGGCGCCGCATGCGTACTGGGCGGCGTTTGTGGTGCAGCAGTGGGCACGGACGCTGTCATGGCGGCTGAGCGGGTGCAAGGCAGCGTCGGGCGCTGAATTCAGGCGGGTGGCCAAGCTTTGCAAGCCCAGTTGCTGATTCACCTCCAGAATCGCATGTGCATCCAATCAACATCCTCGCACATATTTGATTGACATGCAGAACCTCCTGCAGCTGCATTACAAGCAGAGCACCTTATTCAGGGGCTTGATTTGAGATGTAACATCGTTTAAAGAAGCCACAGGGCGATTAGGCCAAAGCATGCACAGCATCGCTGCTGCTGGTGTCCGCAGTTGCACTGGGGGTGTTGCAAGCTACCTTACAGCACACATACATCAAAATTGTAACCATCAAGCTTGTGGCATGGAAATCGATATGTGGCACAACTTCGTCAATTCGAGATGCAATGGCGTGCATGTGAAACCTGTTCCAAGTGAGAGCATTGGTAGCTTGGCCTTCATGTTGCATTCAAACAGCCTGGTGTGTCGCAGGCGCGCTGGCTTCTGCCTGCCTCTCTTGGCATGCCTGGCGATGGGCGGGCCATGCGCTGCGCATGCACCCCAGGCTGCAGTAGCGTACTGAGCGGCAGCCGCGGCACAATCGCAGCCGCGCGCCGTCCTCCTGCGTCTTGGCGCACGCCGCACATCTGTCGCCATTCGCGCGCCCGCACCCCTGCTCGGGTGAGCCCTCACCGACTGCGGGCAGAGCGTGGCTGCTGTTGTTGTTGCTGCTGCTGCTGCTGCTGCTGCTGCTGCTGCTGCTGGAGGCCAGCGGTTTCTGCCTGTCCTGTCCCACGTCTGTTGCCGCACCCGCTGCTGTGGGCGCCGCTTCCGCTGAGAAGTCGTCTCTGCTGTGGCCGCTGCTGATGGTGCTGCCGGCTGAGTTATGCTGCTGCTGCTGCTGCTGCTGCTGCTGCTGCTGCTGCTGCTGCTGTTGCTGCTCCTGCTGCCGCTGTTCACTCAGGTGTGGCTGTTGCTGCTGCTGCTGCTGCTGCTGCTGCTGCTGCTGCTGCTGCTGCTGCTGCCGCTGCCGCTGCTGCTGCAAATCTTCAAATCGTATTGCCAGGCGCACAGGCATGGCGTTCCTAAACGCATCGCCTTTGTGCAGCTTCTGCTTGTGCGCCTCCGCGTGCGCGCCGCCCTCTGGCCGCGCCGCTAGGAGGGCGTCGGCCATGCGAGCCATCTGGAACGCATTGCCCGCGCGCGCCGCTGCATTCCCGAAAGCCTGCAGCGCCTCGGGCCCACTCTCACGCAGCGCCCCGAGCGCGGCGGCGGCGCCCGCGTCGTCTGCGCTGTCGTCTGTAAGGCAGTCCAGCGTGTCTAAAAGCACCTTAGCCGCCCCCAACGCCAACCTGTTCCCATGCTGTGGCGGCGGCCCCCCGTCACGCCGGCGCCCGTTCCTGTCAAAGCCTTCCACAGCCCGCACCAGCGCCTCGGCGGCCCCAAGCACGAGGGGACGCCTCGTCTGCAGAGTCGCGAGCCGGCCGCTGCGGCGCGCGGCGCGGGTGATGGTGATGAGGGCGGTTGCGGCGTATGCCAGCACCGATATCTCCTCAGAATCGCTGGGGCTGGCAGGCTCGTCCACAACCGGCGCCGCCAGCTGCTGCGCCACTGCGTCCAGGATGCCCGAGCCAGACGGAGCCAGCGCCATCGCGGCAAACGCGTTGCCTGCAGCGGCGTCGTGCACAACCAGGCAGTAGATCGCCTGCAGCGCGTCGGTCGCGAGCGCGGCGAATGCGTGCGCATCTTTGCTGTCTGCGGCCACCGCCGCCGCGCTGGCATCACGCAGCAGACTGGAGAGCGCGGCCAGCGCCGCCGGGTGCGCGCAGACGGCCGCGCGGGTGACGGGGTAGCTGCAGAGCGTGAGCAGCACGGCAGCGGCGTGGGCCCTGACGGCAAAATACGCGTTGGTCAGCGCCTTCAGCAGCAGCGGGATGGAGCCATGCTGGACCACCGCGGCCGCCACGGCCGCTCGCTGCTCCTCCCGCTGCTCCTCCCCGCACGCTGTGACGAGCCGCGCCAGCATCCAGAGCCTGCCCTCCAAATGAGGGTCACCCGGCCGCGCGCCCCCGTCGCCGCGCAGCACGGACGACCCATCGCCGAGCGCGGCGACGGCGGCCTCTTGCGGGCGTCGGCGCGAGGGGTCACTCAGCAGGGCCCTAACCAGCCGCACGGCCGGCCAGAACGTGTCGCCGCCGCTCAGCTCGCGGCGCACGACGTCCATCAAAGCGCCGTCCCCTGCAATTCTCTCCGCCACCTCCGCGGCTGCCGCCGCCTCCGCCGCCGTCGCCGCCGCGGGGTCCCCGCCGCCGCCCTCCGGAAAAAAATCAAACGACATCGTCGCAAGCATTTGCAGCGGACCAGCCGCGCCTTCGCCAATTTTTAGGGCTGCAGCAATGAGGACGCCGGCCACGTCCTCAGGCATCATAAGGAGGTCAAACCTCACTGAAGGGCTGCACTGAGACAATGCGTGCATCATTGCACACACGACGTTGAGCGATGCGCAGTTGACATCGCCGCGCGCCGTCAGACGCATGAGCGCCTGAGCGTAGCCTGCGTCGGCCATCTGGCAGGGGAGAAAAGGGCGAGGGAGAAAAATGAGAAGAGCTGGTCGATGCGAGCCGCTTTGCTGGCGAGCAGCACCACAGACATGCAAAGAAAGTACAGGCCTGGAATTGCGGCGCCCGCCGTCTGGTGCCGGAAAACTCCATGCCGGCGCAGCGGCCGGCATTTCTTAATCCTCCTCCTTCGCAAAGAACGCCACCACAGCCGCCGACGCACCTGCCGCAAGCAGCTGGGCGCCTCAAGGAAGCAGCAGCAGGCGGTGATCGCCGAATCCAGCTCCAGCATGCTTGCTGACTCGTCAGCCAACATAGCCAGGAGAGACGCCACGGCTGCGGGCCGCAGCAGCAGCCCTTGCGGCAGCGCCGCGCATGCCGCTTCCAACCTGTCAATGGCTTTGCCGAACTGGCGCCGTGTTGTTGAAGCGCCAGCCTGGCGGCGGGCGGCGGCGCGCAATGCCGGGTCGCAGACAAGCGCGAGTGCCGACTCCACGCGGCCTGCCACGGCCTGGACGGTCGCATCCATGGCTGCGTGCGTCACGTTTGCGTGACAGCTATGGGTACATGTCACCCGCGAGTTGCTCTGGCGTGGGGCGAGTCCACCCTGATAACGCTCAGATCTGTGCGAAGAGTATGAGAACAGATACTTTATTTTGTAGATATTTTGTTTGGCGAGGCTGCACGTAGGCTGATTGGCTTGACCTGCAGCACTGGAGCGCGATGCCGACCTGGTGTTTACAGTCCCGTACTGCAGGCCGATGATGAGATGAGTGGTCCAAGCTGTAGCCCTCCAGCTTACGGTACTTCTGCGTCCTCTGGAATCAAGGCTGTTGCGTTCAAGGCATGCGGCCTATTGGTTGTGCTGTGAGGCCAGCTCATGGGTCAGTGGTTATGGTCTACCTTGCGGTACAGACATATTGCCCACAGTTGCACGCTGCCTACAGTACCTGCACGCAGCACAGCACATGCATGAGGTTGACCCAGCTGCACTATTTCTGTTTCTGAATTGGTTTGTGCACATCCTTGATACTGGGTCTGAGGGCTGGCCGCAATACAGTTGCGGTTGGCAACTGCTTGTGACACTTCTATGACACGCTTGCACTGCCACTCATCACTGCAGTCTGCTCCACTGGAGTTGAGTTATGGGTTGCCGCCCACTGAAGCGCACACTTGCTGTTGACCCTGCTGCGTTTGACACCTTGCGCGTCGCCACAGAACCAACGATTCCTGTACTTTAGCTGGCACAACACGCGTGTATGTGCTTGGAGGTGTGCGTGGGTTTGGAAAGTTGCTTGTGAGTATGTGCTTGTGCGTGTGCGCGTGTCAACATCAAGCGTATGCGTGTCGGTGCATTCGTATATGCGTGCACGCATGTGTGTTGCTATCACCAAGCACGTTGCGCACATGCTTCATGTTGGCCTGAGCATTGCCTCAGGCAAGCCTGCAAGGCCGGCCGGGTGGCAGCTGCGCCAGGGTAATGGGACCTCAATAAATTGGAACGGTCAGGATGCCAGGCACTGGAGTGTCGCTGCAATCAAATCAACGGGCCGCAGGACACACAGAGGCAGGCAGGCGCCCCAGCCCAGCAGCATGCAGTGGCCAGAAGCGAAACAGGCCAGCAGCCCATGCTTACTACGATAGCAGGTTCTGCAAAAGCCCTGCAACGTCTCTCGAATGAGCCAGACAGGATTGGCTCGCTGCAACCGCCACTTCTTTGTGTGTGCATAATCCTTGACTACGGGCATCGATCCCTTGCCCAACAAGCAGCGCCACAGGCGTCACCGTCCTCATGTGGGTTGCTCGACGCGCTGGCACCAAGCGCAAGCAGCACGCAGTCGCAGAAGCTGGCGAGCAGCTGCTGGCCAGCTTTGGCGCCGTGGGCGTCCTTGAAGCTGTTGTAAGAGCTCAAATTGGAAACATAGCTCTGACTGAAAACAAGCCGACTGAAGCCAGTAAGGAAATGCCTGAACAATTTGGATGAGGTGGAGGTGTGGCTGAGTGGGTGGCACGCTTGCAAGTCCAGATTTGCACCTGCATCACATCGAACTTGGATTCATTGTTTGAAAAGACAGACATACAATCATATGCTTTACACGCATAGCCTGCTGCAGCTGCGTTGCGTCGAATTGCGGCGCGCATTAGGGTCTTCGTTCGGAGGGGTTGCTGTTGCAGCTGCACTTGTATGCCTACATCCGTTGGTCCTTCCTTTATAACTGAGGTGCAGCTTACCAGCTTCTGGGACCCTGAAATGTTGCATTGCACTGATCAACAATCAGCACACCAAGGCTGCTTGTCACTCCAAATAATGAGTTGTGTTGGGGCACACCTATTGTCATAGTAAGTTTGCCAGACGTGGCAGGGCACATATTACCAATGTGGACCCCTTGATGCCACCTGCACCAGTCAGCTCAAGAAGACCGTGTGAGCTGCACTGTATCTGCCGGCCGCCGATGCAAAGTTTCCAACTCTTCTCAAACAGGTAGTCGTGGTGCAACTGTGCGGCATTGTTACATGCGAACAACTGCAACCCCACAGTATGACTCAAAATGTTGGCTACTGGTGAAAGGCAGGCAGAAGTGGGTGAAACCGTTTGCGCCTACCTACCGCACAGTCCACTGGACAATCAACACCAGCGCCGCCCATGAAGGGTGGCCGTGCGGCGTCTGCTGGCAAGCGGGATGCTGGGGCATGCGGCAACAGCAAAGGTGGGTACTGAACTCAGCCCAGCGCACGGGGTGGGGTTGATGAGCAAATGAGTTGTGGTCGCAGAGCGCGAGAGGCCGATGCTGCTGCTGCTGCTCCTGCTGCTGCTGCTGCTGCTGCTGCTGATGATGATGATGATGATGATGATGATGATGATGATAGTGATGACGGTGATGATGGGAATCGCCGCTGCTGTGCTGCTGGTCCTGCAGCTGCTGCTGGCGCGGCTGCTGCAGCTGGGCGGCTGCGAACCGACTGCTTTCCAACAGACAAAGCCTGCCAGCGCGGTAGCTGCTCCCAGCATCGCCACGCACGGCGACGCGCGGTGTGAGTGTCCTGCAGCTCCCGCGCATCCAGAGGGGACATACAAGCCGCGTGCTTAGGGGAACGGCAAGCGGCCCATGCCTGCCACACCATGGCACCAAATTGCAGCAAGGTGTCCGAGCGCTGCCTGCGGAGCCTTGACCAGACAGCTGTGCTGGCCTCCGCACCAACAGCGCTGCATCAACCACCGCTGCTCTGGGCAGCAGTGGGCTGCGACAGCCGCATGGCGGGTAGCGCTTGACGGCGTGGTCGCTGCTAGAGCAGCTGCGATGGCGCCGCCACGCGTGCTGCTTGGGCGCGAGGCCGCTGCAGTCAAGGGGGGAACTGAGTGATGCTGACTTTTTCAGAGTTGCCTCACGCAGCACCCTTTGTAGCGGCGGCCGCCGCTGCCGCTTCCTGCGCAGTTCCACGTGCCGCAGGCCCCTCGTCAGCGTCGGCGTCGTCGGCGCCGCCGGCCACCGAGGCAGCCGCGCGCATGAGCACGCGGTACTCTGCGGCCAGCCGCGCGTGCTCCCCGGTAATGCGGGACGTCTGCAGGTAGTCGTACGAGCACACCGCCAGAAGCGCAGCGACTGAAGCGCGCTGTGCGCGGTGGATTGTTTTGTATGGCGTGGGGATGCGGGTGGGTGGCGAACTACTCGATTGGACTACCGTATGGCGTGCGAAAAAACGCTAGGATAGACATCGCAGCTGCAGCAATCCCTCGCATTAGCAGCAGGCTTAGCGCAGGAGCGTAAATTGCAGCAGGAAGGTGGCAGTGATGATGTATGCTTAAAAGCCCACGTGCCGCCTACCATGGCCAGGTTTGCGTTTCGTCGCGCCACCGTAGACCGCAGCGGTTGCGGCACAGCCATCACATAGACCGCGTGCAGCGCACTGCCCCACATGAAGGCTGTGCCGCCCGCCGTCAAGGCGCGCTCCCCGCTGTCGCGCAACCAGGCATTCCAGCCCTACAACGGGGAAGGGAGTGAGGGCGAAGTAGTCACATGCACTCCTCACGGGTGCTGCAGCAGAGCCGCTGCACAACAAGCACGCAGCTGCGGGTGTGGGGCCCCAGATAGGAAGCAGCACCAATCTCACATTGGCCATTCGTGTCCTCGCATTGCTGAAGGCGTCGCTCATGTCGTGGGGGAAGGGGGGTCAGATCTGCCTGATCTCAGCACTCACGAGGCAAAGCTTGTTGTTGTCAAGGACCAATACCACAGTGATTGATCTCTCTTTAACAAGCGACATCAGCTCTTGTCGCAACCTTTCCTGTATCCCGTGACCGAAAAAACCTAGCTGCATTGCCGGCAGGGCACTTCCCTATCTCCGTACTTGGTACGCACATCAAAGAAGCACACATTTTCAGGTATTAGGCTCGGTAGTTACCCCAGTAGCCATGCAGTCGACCACCATGAAGACCGCTGGAGCACAGCGCGCGGCCGTTCGCCCACGTGTTGGCCGGAAGATGGTCTGCAAGGCCTCTGCGGTGCGTGGGCCGTGTGTCATTGTGTGCCGACATGCTGCCGTCGCGGCCGCGCGCCACATGGCGCCCAGTTACAGCCGACCAAGCTCATGCGCTTGTGTTGTGTGTGTACAGAGCGCGCAACCAACTTCTGTGCGTGAGCTCGGCAGACGCTTGATAATGCGTGAGGGGCTTTTGTTGGAGCCCGTTCGCAGCAGGGGGCCTGAAGGCTCCCCCCCCCCGCCCACCCTCGTGGCCTGAGGCCACCAGGCGCCCCTTGCCCCAAACATCGCTGATCAGGACGTGGCGCGCGTCGCGGTGCTGGGTGCATCGGGCTACACGGGGGCGGAGGTGGTGCGGCTGTCCGCGCTGCACCCAAACATCACGATCGCCGCGCTCACTGGCGAGAAGCAGGCTGGCAAGGTGCGCGGCCGCATCACTGCAGCCAGCCTATCATGAGTCTAGCTGGTGCGCAGCTCGGGCAACCAGGCCTCTTGTTAGTGGGAGGACGCGGCAGTTGGCCTATGGTGCGCAGCCAGGCAGCTTGCGTGCGTGTGTTTTCGCCGCGCGCACACACACACAACTTCTTCAGCGCCCAATTCCCGCTCGCAGAGCTTTGCCGAGGTGTTCCCGCACCTGGTCAGCGCCTCCAACATCGGCGCGCTGGTCAAGATCGCAGACGTGGACTTTGACCAGGTGCAGCGAGATCGCTTGCGTCGGCACCACGATTGTTGCCGCTGCCGCCTTGGCGTCGCTGAGGCGGCCCCGCACCTGGCGGGAAGAAATGAGCCATCCTGCAGCGTCCCAGCCTCCGGTGCTGACGAGTAGGGCAACCATGTGACCGCCTTGCTGTCTCTCGTCCCCCGCCAGGTGGACGCCGTCTTCTGCTGCCTGCCGCACGCGACGACGCAGCAGATCATCAAGTCGCTGCCCACCAATCTGAAGATTGTGGACCTGTCGGCTGACTTCCGCCTGCGGGACGTCAACACATACGCGCAGTGGTGGGTGCGGCCGGGGCGTCGGGCTCGCGGGCTGCTTGGGCCGGTAGAACAGACTGATAGCCTTGGTTCGGGGGGTTGATTGCGGTGTGCAGATTGGTCGACTCGCCGGACTGCCACCGGTGGCATCTAACCGGTTCTGGCGTACGGCTTATAGATATCGCTGACGTGCACCTAGGTCTTTTGACACCTATGCCACACGCTGCCCTTAGGGGTATGTTGACAGCCAACGGTAATGCCCACTAGAGACGCATACGGCTGGCGAGACTGCCAAGGGACGGGGTCGGGCCCTGAATTTTCTCTTTCAACCCCTTGAGACCCGTCGCGGCCGCGCGCCTGTTGTTCCAGGTACGGCGGCGAGCACGCGGCCCCTGAGCTGCAGGAGGAGGCGGTGTACGGCCTCACTGAGCTGAAGCGCGAGGAGGTGGGTGCGTATGTGTGCGTGTGCGTGTGCGCGCACGCGCGCGTGTGTGTGTGTGTGTGTGTGCATATGTGCGCATGCTCACACTTGTGCGTGCAAGCAAATGCTTGGACAGTTTTCTCCCTGCACCCAACACCGTTTCAGCGTGCCTTGTGTGTACTGAGCTCAAGCAAAATGTATCAGTGAGGCCATGAGTGTTTGCAGGCTCGTCTCAGGCAACGAATTTTCCACCCCTGGTACCCATTCTGAATCCCAGGTCAAGAAGGCGCGGCTTGTGGCCAACCCAGGGTGCTACCCCACGACCGTGCAGATCCCCCTTGTGCCGCTGCTGGAGAAGGGCCTCATCTCCAAGGATGACATCATCATCGACGCCAAGTCGGGTAAGTGCATCTTCGGTCGCGCGTGTGCCTGCAAATGTTGCTGCATGTGTTCAAGCGGCGTTTACAATTGCAGGGGTTACAAAGCACGCCTGCATGAGATACTCCTTGTTCGTCGGGACCATCCTGCTGCCTCATCATATGCCAGAAGTGAGCAGCTGTGCTCCTCTGCACCTAGCAGGCATGATGCCTCGCGCCTGTCTAACGCACGCCTACTCCTGTCCTCCTGTCCTCCTTACCGCCAACCATGACGGCGCCAGGCGTGTCTGGCGCCGGCCGCGCGGCCAAGGAGTCCAACCTGTACACAGAGATCGCAGAGGGCATCAACGCCTACGGCGTCTCATCCCACAGGCACATGCCCGAGATCGAGCAGGTGAGGCTGTTGCGGCTGCCACAGCAATAACCGGACTCAATTTGTGGCCTCAGCTGCAGTACTGAGCAAGAGCATGCAGGGGTCTTTGCAGTGCGCATGATAAGGTGTGGTTGGATTGTTGCAACATGGATGCGATGCGGCAGGCGCTGTATGCGTCCTCGCAGCAGTGCCATGGGTTTGCGGCTGTGCAAACATTGTGTGACTGATGTCTGCGCCCGTGCCCCGGTGTTATCACACTCCGCAGGGGCTGTCCGACGCTGCAGGCGCGGACGTACGCGTCAGCTTCACGCCCCACCTCATGTGCATGACCAGGTGTGCCCAGCATGCTTCCACGCACAACGGCCCGTGAACTGCTGGCATGGGCGGTTTTCCCCTGCATGCTGTCCACCAAGAAACCCTGCCGTGACCTGTGCTGCAAAACATCCTCGCCCTCGCCGCCTGGCCGTCATGCCGTCCTCCCCCCACCCCGCTCGCTCAGCAAAGCGTCCCTGCCCCCAGCACCCACCCCAAACCGCAAAACCCTGCCCGCCGAACCCCAAACGAACACCAAAATCAAGGGGCATGCAGTCCACCATCTACGTGAAGCTCGAGAACGGCGCCACCCCCGACTCGCTGCGCGCCGAGCTCGAGGCGCGCTACGCCGGCGAGCCCTTTGTGCGCATCCTGCCCAAGGGCGTGGTCCCGCACACGCGCCACGTGCGCGGCTCCAACTTCTGCTTCATCAACGTCTTCCCGGACCGCATCGCAGGGCGCGCCATCGTGGTGAGAATGGGTTCTGCTTTTGCCCCACCCGCACCTCGCAGCACACTTGGCCGTTCCGCTGCGCGCTGCTTTGCTCGCCCCGACCGCTTTGTGTGTGACGCTTGTGCCTGGGACCTTCAACACACTTGACTGCGCAACTGTGACTGCGCTGCGTGTCATGAAGCCCGTGCTTCCGCATCCTGGCCCCCCCCCCCCGTTTGACCCCCAGATCTGTGTGATTGACAACCTCGTCAAGGGCGCCAGCGGGCAGGCCCTGCAGAACCTTAACCTCGTGATGGGATTCCCTGAGACCACTGGGCTCCTGCAGCTTGCCATGTTCCCTTGAGTGGGGCCTGGGTTTTTGGAACGCCTGGATTATACAGATGCCTGGATTACAGGGGGTGCTGGCTACCAGCCATTGATTGGTTTTGTTGCCGCTTTCGTCCGCCAGCGCCCTCGGAGGGGTTGCCCAAGGGGAAGCGTGCCTTTGCACGTGCGGCTCGCCTGTGGTCATGCTACTTGCATGTGCTCTCCGAGGCATGCTGTGTGCAGCCATCTTCTGTCAGCAGCAGGGTGAGTGCCATGTTCTGTCTGCGCTGGAACGCTGGGTAACGACAATATGACAACTGCATCAAGCCTTGACAGATCCAAACTCACCCAGGGCAGAGCAATTCAACGCGCCAGGGTGCCATGCAAATGCCCGACGCACATATGATGGTTGGGATGCGCCGTGTTTCAACAGTGTCGTTGGCCATGTGCATCACGACCGTGCAGGCTGGCAGTGTTCTTCAATGTCAGCCGCACACGTCAAAGGGCAGTGTAGTTGTCTGGCATGCACAACGAACTTCACACCACAAACAAAGCTTGATCAAACGATCTGGCAGGGAGTCAGCCAGCCAAAATGCCCAAAATCAAGCCTTCAAATGTCCATCAAAGCTCGTATAGGTATCAGACTACGATTTCATCCATATTTATGGGTTTGGTCTATCCATAGTCGTACGATTCAGATCACGCGGGTGTCGTACTTTCAACGTTGTCGCCATTGACAAGGGCCAAGCGCCTGCTGCTTTCATCCGATCATCGACACCATGCAGATCCCATCCATGGTGTTGCTGGTGCTTGCGCTGGCTACCCCGCGCACCCTCGCAGCACGCCCGCTGCACCTTGCTGTGGTGGGACGCACGCTGCAACAGCAGGGTAAGCGCCATCGCTGCCTGTGCATACTCGACGCATGGCCCTCAGCATGTTGTTTTTCTCATCTTCAGCGGCGCCTGAGCGCTGCTGTGCGGCCTCAGATGCCTTATCTGTAGCGCTGTGTCTAGACCGTTTGAATCCGAGCTGCGCAACAACGCACACGCTGCCAACACAGGCACCTGGTCCGGCTTCCCCGACCCCACCTCCGCGACGGCCTTCGCCTCCTCAAACGGCCAGCAGCAGCAGGCAGTCGCGTACGCCTCAAGCTCGGTGCCGTCCTTCCAGCAAGGCGCTACCCAGCAGACCGCCATGCCCGCCTACGCCCAGCCCATGCAGCAGCAGCTGCAGCAGCAGGTTGCCTACCCCCAATCCGCACCGCAGCAGCAGATGCCGCAGTATTACCCTCAACAGCCTCAGCAGGGCGCTGTGCAGATGCAGCAGCCGCAGGGCGCCTTGCAGCAGGGGCAGCAGACCAGCATGCCGCAGCAGGGTTCAGGAGGCTCGCCCGGTGCGCATCATGGGGCCCAGCACACTGCTAGAGATACATGCAGGCGCTCGCATGCAACATGCGCGCAGGCGCTGGCATGCAGCAATCATGCAGGAGCTCGCATGCAGCATGCGAGCAAATGCTTGCATGCAGCATGTGTTCAGGCGCTCGCATGCAGGCGCTTAATGGTGCAGTTTTCTGAACACGGTTACCTGCCGCTCCTTTGCAGAGACCCTCACCCTAAAGCACCCTCGCCCACCTCCCCCTTGCAACCTCACCCCTCCGCAGGCTTCAACCAAAACTCCATCCTGTCGTTGCACAACAGCCTCCGAGCCAAGCACGGCGCTGCGCCGCTCGCCTTCAACGGCCAGCTGGCGGCGTCCGCTCAGGCCTGGGCGGACCGCTGCGTCTTCCAGCACAGCGGCCCAGGGGAGAACCTGGCGCAGTACTTCCCTGACCCCTTGCAGGCCGTGCAGGTGCTCATGGCTTCACCTGAGCATGAAAAAGAAAGGTTATCGCCTTGTGGCTATGATTGATTTACATGTTGCATGCTTCAACCTTGCTCAACTCCGCCACTGTTCAGCAGCCAGCGGAGCCCCAGCCGCCACCTCTGCCTCGTGCCAGCTTTTGAACGTCTGCACTGTAAACCTTCTGATGGCAGGCTTGGTATGATGAGATCCGCATGTACTCCTACGGCAGCGACTACTCGTCAGCCACAGGTGATGAGAGGGAGCAGCAGCACATGGTGCTTCCGCTGGGCTTGCATGGGCAGCTGGCTGGTCTGCATGTGCCGTCGGCCTTCTGCCGCTTGCGCACTAAAGTGTGACATCACCTACATCTCCAGCTTGGCGCTCATCCCTGCTCGCACGGCGGCACCACCCCGGCCTGCGCTCTGCCCTCTCAGGCCACGCCACCCAGATGCTGTGGAAGGGCTCGACCTCGGCCGGTTGCGGCTGGGCAGCTTCCTGCCAGCTGCTTGTCTGCCACTACGATCCCCCGGGTAATGTGGTTGGCCAATTCCCACAGAACGTGTCGCCCCCGCTGCAGTGAGGGCGGGCATGTGGCCGCGCGGCGGCGCGAGTACTGCGTTGGCCGCCTGGGCCTGGCAAGGGGGGCACGTTTGCACCCCAAGAACCCTCCCAAAGCAAGTGCGACTTGCCAGTGCTGGGCCTGCTCCTGTATTATTTGCCGTTTGTCTGTCCTGAACGCCATTGTGCTGTCTGCCCATTCTTGACGGTGCACATGGGGACTGACCACTCCTGAGTTCTGCAGGACTGCAGGCTGCTGTATGTGACATGCACTGCGTGCTGCCCGAATTCCCTCATGTTTGACTCGCAATCCTCATACTTGTCTCAGCCCTGGCCTTCTGGCTCTCTGACCATGCCACGATCGTGTGTACTGCATAAACTTCCCCCCGGAATAAATTGCGCAGGCGTGCGTGCGTGCCGTGTGGCCCCAGCGCACACGTGCCCACGCCCCCCACCGAATAATTCACGGAATCGTCCTTTGAGGGTGAATAGCAAACAAGCCCTGCTGCGTGCAGGCAAATCCTGCCCCACAACGCAGCTTGCCTTGCACCGCAAAGCCCATTGTTTGGTCCTGTGGAATTCACAGGCCAGCAGGCAATTGCCTCGTGGAACCCTCCACACATGTCAACTGCTGTTTGCCTCCCTCGCTGGTACCGCTGTCTGGCTTTCCATCATCTATTGTGAGCACGTCCTCACGCACCGCCACCCAATCCCTGGCTATGACTTGGCTGTCCTCCTTCAATAGTGTATCTCGGCTTTGTCCAAACTCGCCCTGCGCTTGCCCTGTGATTCCATTGCACCCATTTCATAGGCCTGCACTCTCCATCACATTGCCGCCGTGAGTGGCTTCACGCACGCGCCCCCTCGTTCACCTGCATCCATTTTGCCACCTGTATTGTAACCTGCCTCCACAACTTTACCTGACTTTACTCGTGTGCGTCAGCCACGCCAGATAGACGGCGCCGGCAAGCAGCCAGTCAAGATCTGCGCACGCTGCGCGCCCTTTCTAGATTCATCTGCAGCCTGCGTCACAGATCACACACTTTTGGTGACCGCCTGACGCCATGGTAGCGCAACCACTGCCCGACTTGCACTATATAGAAGTGAGAACATCAGACCACAGCGCCCCTGGCTCAACATGTCAGCCACCCTCCCCTGAGCCGCGCTGCATACGTATGTGATAAAAATTATCAGTGGGCGAAACGTGGCAGGCTTGCGCTCAGCTCCAACAGCTGCGCCTCAACCTCATCAGCGTCCCAGTCTTCAGCGGCGCAGACGCCTGCCTGCTGCTGCTGCTGCTGCTGCTGCTGCTGCTGCTGCTGCTGCTGCTGCTGCTGCTGCTGCTGCTGCTGCTGCTGCTGCTGCTGCTGCTGCTGCTGCTGCTGCTGCTGCTGCGTCCAAGGCGGCAGTGCTGCTGCGGGCGTATGCGCCCCAATGCGTCCGGCGCTGTTCGCGACCGCCGGTGATGGGGGTGTCGCGGGGCTGCTGGCGCCGCTGCTGGCGCCGCTGCCCTGCTTCATGGCCGACTTGAGGGGCGTGCCCGGCCTCGACCCAGCCCCGGATCCCGGCCGCACAGCGGGCGGCGCGGGCACCGCTGCGCTCGGTATTGGTGCGGGGCGCGGCCGAGGTGTTGCCACCAGCTCGCTTGAATCCAGCCTCAGCACCTCGTCATCGCTGGTCGCTGGATCATTCAATGGCCCCTGCTGCTGCTCTCGCTGAGGTTGCTGATCGTGCACGCTCGCACTTGTCGCAGAGCCGTCGCGCCGAGACGACGCGGACGGTGGCGGTGGTGATGCCGAGGAGGGGCCCGGGGCTGGCGCTGCGGTGTTGGTATCCACAAGCAAGACGCCCGGCGTCTGCATGCGTGCCAGGCTCGGCCGCGGCCGCGTCGCAACCATGATTGGCGGGCTAACGCCGGTGAGCGGTGGTGCTGCATGCGGCCCGGGCGCCACGAGCGGCTGGTAGGTGTTGCCGCCGTCGGCGCCCGTGCCGCCGCCGCCGCGGCTTCCGGCACTGCTACCATTGCTGGCACTGTTGCCCCTGCTGGCGCGGCCGGCGGATGACGCTTTGAGGATGCCCCTGGGTGTCAGCGCCTCGCCAGCTGGCGCCCGCAGGTCCAAGCTCCTGCTGCCCGGCCGGCTGCCAGGCTGGCTGCCGGGCTGGCTGCCGCCTCGCGGGGAGCGCACGTGCGCAAAGGCGCCGCTCGCGGGCTCCTCCTCGTCTTCTTCGTCACCGCCGCTGCTGGAGCATGCCGCGCTGCCGCCAGTGCCAAGTGCCCCACCCCCTGCAGCCTGCAGCGCCAGGTTGGTTGGCAGCTTGGAGCAGCTGCTGCCAGAGAGCGGGCGCAGCGCAGCCGCGCCCCTGGATGAGACGGGCCGCGAGCCAGGGCCTGACATGAAGGCAGCACCCAGGTGAGGGTTGGCCAGCAGAGACCTAGGGGAAGGTGGGCGGCCCCCACCAGCACCGCTGCCGCCGCTGCGGCTGGCATCCACTGGCACCGCAGCTGCGCCCGCTCCGGAGGCACTGGCGTGCGGGCTGTTGGTGCGGCTCAACGCCAGAGATTTGCGAGCCCCCTGCGCGCACAAGCGATTATAGTTGGCAGGCTCAAATGCTTGTCTTGCAGGGCCCAGCGCCTCCGCACGCGGGCTGGAGACCAGATCGCTGGCTGGGCACAACAAGGCAAGCAAAGCCCCACCCGACCCCTTGAACCTGTCACCCATTTGACCCACCTGCTTGAGCTTTTCCAGGTACGCCTGGCTGCCAGCAGCTTCTGCCTGCTCCTGCTCGGCCGCCTCGGCCTCGGCCTCAATGGCGTCCTTGAGCCCCTGCAGAGCAGCGACCCACCTGTCGCGCTCAGCGCCGCCGCCCCGCTCAACCTTGAAGGTCAGGTAGCGCTCGGGGAAGCGCACCTGTGGCAACAGTGGGTGCGCTGTGATCCGTCCATTATGGAGGCGATGCGAACGCACGGCTTGCGAGGGCCACTTGGAGGGCAATGTGCACAACCATCTTGACCATGTTTGACCGTGTGCACAGCGTGAATCCACAGGCATACATGGGGTAAGGCCTCCAGCCGCCTTTGCAATGCGCTCTTTGCCTCACCGTGAACTTGAGCTCCTCCTCTGGCCGCACCCACAGAAGGTCGCGCCCTGCGTAAACGCGCGCCTTCCCCGTCTGCACCTCCTGCTGCGACGCGCCATAGGTCAGCGCGTCCTCCGTGAGCTCCACCCAGCGGCGCTGGTACTTCTTGCCCTGAGTTTAGTGCAAAGATTTGTACTGCTTTTTGCTTCACAGGCAACCACGCACGATCAGGTTCGCCCGATGTGCTCAAAAGCCGACACACTGCACATACTTACGAGGAGGTTTTGCTTGCGGTATTCTCTATTTCTTTTCAACAGAAACCCCTGAAGGGTCTGTGGCAACATTGTGTGCGTCAAAACAGCGTACTTTAGCTCAAGCTGCAGTTGTTTAGGGTATGAATGCTTTGGAAATGTTCAATTTGAGTGCACCTCTGCGGGCGTCAAGGCGTGAAAGGCTCCCAATCAGGAGCACATCCAGGCTGCCCATCCTTAGCACGACCTCGACTGCTCGGCTTCCCCTGGAACGGCTGGGTGTCCCCAGTTTGAGCACATTTCAGAACACGCCTTGCCATGCAGTGCGCTTGCCTGTACAAGCGGGCGCATACGCCTGCGCTTGTCTGCAGTCACCCGTGGTTCCTGCAGTGTCACAGCTGTCAGCCTGCACGGTCGCAGGTGTGACGTTGTTCGAAAAGCACCCCCTCACTTCCCCTAACACACACACACACACACACACACACACACACACACACACACACACACACACACACACACACACACACACACACACACACACACAC